CAGGGGTTGGAGGGATAGTACAGCGGGTAGGGCATCTGCCTTGCACGCGGCCAACCCAGGTTCGATTCCCAGGATCCCATATGGTCCCCTAAGCATCACCAGGAGTAAATCCTGAGTGCAAAGCCAGAAGTAACCCCTGTCCATTGCCAGGTGTGACCCAAAAAGCAAAAAGAGAAAAAAGAAAAAAATTTAAAAAAAAATTTTCCCCCTGGTCAGTCTACATAACAATTTTGAGCACTGCTTTCTTCTCTAAGCAGGCCAAGACCCTAAGCCAGCCTCTGTCTCCTCTTCAGCTCACTGACTCTGACTGTTTCTCTGAGACTAACCTTAGGCATCATTTGAAGTAGAAAACTTTCCCAGCCCAACTTCCCGAACACAGACACCATCGGCCACACAGAGATGAATGGTCCATTCCTGTGTGCCTGCCCATGAATATAAGAAGTGAGCAGGGCCTGGAGTGACAGCACAGTGGGTAGGGTGTTTGCCTTACACGCAGCCAAACCAGGTTCAATTCCCAGCATCCCATATGGTTCCCTGAGCACCCCCCAGGAGCGATTCCTCAGTGCATGAGCCAGGAGTAACTCCTGTTCATTGCTTGGTGTGACCCAAAAAGCAGGGGAAAAAAAAAAAGAAATGAGCAGGTAAGAGCTGTGTTTCATTCCCGGTCATGTGTGACTTTGTGGAGGAAACCCCTGCACAGAATAGGGGCACAGCTAAGTCATGTTCTGAAGCTTACCATGTTGGAAGCATTTTCTTTTCGCAGGTCCAAGAAAACAATGACTGTTTATTTGACAAGGTCCAAACAAGAAGGGTGATGAGAAGACACCAGGACACGAAAACAGACAATGATTTGAGAGCAGACGTCCAGGGACACACAAGAGCTTCCAGCTGAGTGATGCATATTTTCCCAATGGTTCAAAAATGAGCACATGCTCATTAGGCAGAGAGAGATTTAACAGGTTCTGCTGCTAATGCTGCAATTTTAAATCCATTTAAGATAATTTTCTTTATCTTGAATCTCCTTTTCTCAGTAACCAGGATATTTAGCTGATTTATACAAAATCCATTTGAAAAAGAAATAATCTAGTCAAAGGAAGGACACACTTTAAATGGGAAAGAGGTCACTGAAAAATGACAGCAAATGAATAATCTGTTGGAGAAATGAAGGCAGAATCCTGCCAGGAAATTTGAGTCCCCCCCCACACACACACAGCATCTAAATTCTGTCATTAATCTCTGACTTTGACAAAGAGGAAACAACTAATTCTTAAATCTGGGAGCACAGGACAAAGATCTCTTAAAAGCCAGTCAAGATGTGGACAAAATTAAAAATTAAAATAATCTCACACAAAAATTAGAAATTTAAAGAGTCATGGTATGTACTTTCTCACCTATAAACCTGGAAAACCATTTTTTGAATGTTACAACACAGCATTGGAAAGGTCAAGTCAAATTCCGCTAGGAGCAGAGATCACTATACTTTTTCTGGAGCGAAGGCTCACAGTATCTATAAAATGTCTCCAAAAGTATTCCTACCATGTGATCTAAGGATAATCGCTTTATAAGTGGGAATGCAGGAAATAAAACAACAAATGGACACATAAAATTTTGAGTGGAAAGATATTCATCAGTCTTATTTATCACTGTCACCGTCACTGTCCTCCTGTTGTTCATCGATTTGTTCGAGCAGGCCCAGTAACGTCTCCATTGTGACACTTGCTACTGTGTTTGGCAAATCGAATACGTCACAGGTAGCTTTGCCGTGTGGGCAAAATACTCTCGGTAGCTTGCCGGGCTCTCTGAGAGGGGCGGAGGAATAAAACTCGGGTCAGCCATGTTGGCCGCATGCAAGGCAAATGCCCTACCTGCTGTGCTTTAAAGTAATGAAAAATGAAAATGATCTACAGGTCCAATAATGAAAATAATGATACCAACTAGCAACATCATAAAAAATTCATGAAATACTATCAAATGAAATAGAGAAAGAACCTACTAGATGCTCGAATCTAGATATAAACACAAAGATCAAATGTTTGACCCCTGATTCTAGGTCATAACAGCATAATGACATTTGTTTCTTATTTAAAATGTGTCATATTGAAGTCTTTTTACTAGGTTTTAGGATTACTCTTCTGAAAAAGCAAATCTTGTATCTCACTAATATTTCTTTTATTTTAATTGAATCAACATGAGATACAGTTACAAGCTTTCATGTTTGAGTTTCAATCATACAATGATGAAACTCCCATCCCTCCACCAGTACACATTCTCCACCACCAATGTCCCCAGTATCACCACCACCCCCCACTTTTCACCCCTCCTCCTGCCTCCATGGCAGACAATTTCCCCCATACTCTCTCTCTACTTTGGGGCATTATGATTTGCAAAACAGATACTGAGAGGTTATCATGTTTGGTGTTTATCCACTTTCAGCACACATCTCCCATCCCGAACAATTCCTCCAGCCATCATTGTCTTAGTGATTCCTTCTCTGTTCCAGCTCCCTTCTCTTCTAACTCATGAAGACAGTCTTTCATGAGCTGTAAGAGGCAATAATCCTGGCCCTTGTGTCTACTGCCCTTGGGTGTCATTCTCATATTATGTTATTTTATATTCCACAAATGAATGCAGTCATTCTATGTCTGTCCCTCTCTTTCTGACTCGTTTCACTTAGCATGATACTCTCCATATCCATCCACTTAGAAGCAAATTTCATGACTTCATCTCTCCTAATAGCTGCATAGTATCCCATTGTGTAGATGTACCAAAGTTTCTTTAACTAGTCATCAGTTCTCAGGTACTCGGGTTGTTTCCAGATTTTGGCTATTGTGAACAGTGCTGCAATGAACATATAGGTGTAGATATCATTTCTACTCTGCGTTTTAGCACCCTCAGAATATATTCCCAGAGGTGGTATTGCAGGGTCATATGGAAGCTCAATTTCTAATTTTTGAAGTAATGTCCACATTGTTTTCAAAAAAAAGTCTGTTCCAGTCCGCATTCCCACCAACAGTGAAAGAGCATCCCTTTCTCCCCACATCCACGCCAGCACTGGTTGCTTTTGTTCTTTTGAATGTGTGCCAGTCTCTGTGGTGTGAGATGATATCTCATTGTTGTTTTGATTTGCATCTCCCTGATGACTAGTGCTGTGGAGCATTTTTTCATGTGCCTTTTGGCCATTCGCAATTTTTTGAGGAAGGTTCTGTTCATTTCTTCTCCTCATTTTTTTTGATGTGGCTGGAGGTTTTTTTCTTGTACAATTCCACTAGTGTCTTGTATATCCTGGATATTAATCCCTTATCATATGGGTATTGGATAAATATTCTTTCCCATTCTTTAGGCTCTCTCTGTATTTTGGTCACTGTTTCTTTTGAGGTGCAGAAGCTTCTTAGTTTGACGTAGTCCCATTTGTTTATGTTTGTTTCCACTTGCTTGGTCAGTCATATTTCATCCTTAAAGATGCTTTTAGTTGGGAGATGTGTGCAGAAAGTAGATAAAAGACCAAACACGATTACCTCTCAGGGTCTGTATTGCAAACCATAATGCCCCAAAGTAGAAAGATATTATGGGGAATCATGTCTGCCTTGGAGGCAGAGGGAGGGTGGGAAAAGGGGGGGAGGGTTATACTGGGGATACTGGTGGTGGGGAATGTGCACTGGTGGAGGGATGGGTGTTTGATCATTGTGTGATTGTAACCCAAACATGAAAGCTTGTAACTATCTCATGGTGATTCAATAAAATTTTTTTAAAAAGATGCTTTTAGCTTCAATGGCATGGTGGGTTCTGCCTACATTTTCCTCCATGTACCTTATGAATTCATTTTTGATATTGAGGTCTTTAATCCACTTTGATCTGACCTTTGTGTCTTGTATCAGACAGAAGTCAGAGTTCATTTTTTTTTGCAGGTAGCTACTCAGTTTTCCCTGCATCATTTGTTGAAGTGGCTTTCCTTATTCCACTTCACATTTCTTGGTCCATTGTCAAAGATGTAGTGGTCATATATTTGGGGGTCTGTGACAGAATATTCAACTCTGTTCCATTGGTCTGCAGGTCTGTTTCTATTCCAATACCATGCTATTTTAATGACTACTGTTTTGTAGTACAGTTTGAAGTTGGGGAAGGTGACGCCACCCATCTTCTTTTTCCCAAGGACTGCTTTAGCTATTCATGGAGGTTTATTGTTCCATATGAATGTCAGGAATGTTTTGTCCACTTCTTTGAAAAATGTCATGGGTATCCTTATAGGGACTGCATTAAATCTGTTTAGTGCTTTGGGCAGTATTGCCATTTTGATAATATTAATCCTCCCTATCCATGAGCATGGAATGTGTCTCCAATTCCTAGTGTCCTCTTTTATTAGTGTCCTCTTGAAGTAGTGTTTTGTAATTTTCCTTGTATAGGTCCTTCACCTCTTTAGTTAAGCTGATTCTGAGGTACTTGATTTTCTGAGCTACTATTGTGAACAGTATTGCTTTATTATTATTATATTATTTTGCTTTCTTTTTGGGTCACACTCAGCGATGCACAGGGGTTACTCCTGGTTCATGCACTCAGGAATTACTCCCGGCCGGGCTCGGGGGACCATAGGGGATGCCAGGAATCGAACCCAGGTTGGGCCGTGTGCAAGGCAAACACCCTACCCACTGTGCTCTCACTCCAGCCCCAGGATTGTTTTTTTTTAATGTCTCTTTTTTCTTTTTCATTATTTGTATACAGGAAAGCCATGGACTTTTGGGTGTTGATTTTGTAACCTGCCATTTTACTGTGCAAATCTATTGTTTCTAGGAGCTTTTCTGTAGTCTTTAGGATTTTCTAAGATTGTACCATATCGTTTGCAAATAGTGATAGCTTGAACTCTTCCTTTTCTACCTGTATATCTCACTAATATTTTATAATCAATGAACATTTCCCCAATAGCTAAAAACAATCTGAGACAATGCTTAGGTCTACACCCACCTAGGCTGGAATAAGAGCATTTGCAGAAGTGAATCAGAACTTACTTGGTGGGCCGATAATCCGGGATGGAGCGATCCAGTGAGATTTTCTCGCTGAGGTAGGAGTTGTAGCCATACTTCTCATGGGGCCCCTTGGCTTTCTCCTCTTCCTCTGGGGAAAGGGTAGCAGGAAGGCCCCCTTTGCCCCGTCCACCGTAACCTTCAATGAGTCCAAGGGATTTGGACAAGCCTAGAAAGAAGCGGGGGAGGAGGGAAAATTATTTGAAAGTCACAATATAGGTCACTCAAACTCAGTTTCAAGAAATTTCAGGGGTTCTGGCTGCAGAAAACAATTATAGTCACCGTGTCTCCCGGAAGCTTCCTCAGAGAGGAAGCTCAAGGCACAGTTAGCTGGATAGCAACAAAGGACCTTCCCCTCTTGTGGCAAACTGGTGTGGCCAGGGATCCATAAAAGGGAGAGGCTGATAGGCAGGAGAGAATGAGGACAAGGAGGGCCTGTAAAAGGTGAGATCATGAAGCTGTCACCCATGTGTGCCCCCTCCATGGGGCAGTTTACTGCCATGGAGGCTGGGCCCCGGCCGCCCGCTGCAGTCGGAGTGCAGACAATCACAGGAGGTGACTGCCAAAGTGCAGGTGGTTCTGCTCCAGGGAACGACCTACAGATGGAGGCTATCATGATTTTAAGTATGGAACAGCCGACACAGTTCACTAGCTGTTCCTGGCTTTTATTTAAATTTCACCTAAAAGGCAAAAGCAAAGACAAAATGTCTAAGAATAAATCACAGAAGGAAAACTACACCAGGGGTGATAACCATGAGGAGCAAATCCCCAGATGGTGACAGTTTTATACCTTTATATCCCGTTGTTGGAAAGCATGATGGGATGTTTTCTAATTCTGGAGTTACAGGAAGTTCTACTTCCTGGGGAGAAAATTTTGTGATTGGGCTAGAGTGATAGTCCAGTGATTGTCCAGTGTATGACTGACCTGGATTCAATCCCTGGCACCCCTTGAGCACCACCAGAAGTGGTTCCTGAGTTTAGAGCCAGAAGTAAACCATGAGTATTGCTGGGTTTTGCTCAAAACCGCCCTCCACAAAAAGAAAGAAAACTCGGTTATTAAATACTTCTGATCCCTTTTGCCATTTAAATGTTCAAGCTACCTAGTATACACCTTGGCATGATCATGTGCCCCCCTCCCACAAACGCACACATGTACACACACAATTCTGTATCACAAGTATGTCTTTGCTCCCAATGCAGGGTCAGTGATGTGAATAATGTCCCCAGGTTTCAGCGTGCAGAGAGCCTCGAAGAACCCTGACCTTCTAGACAAGTCAAGGACTAGTCAATGGGCTCTGGCCACAGTATGGTCCTCCAGAACCACACAGCCCGGCCCATCCTCCTTTCCTTACCTCTCAAAAGGGAGAAATCTACTTTCTGTGCTACCAAGATCAGAAAGCAAAAGCTGAGCAAACAACTCATAGTTGCTTTCAGATGAAAGATCTTTTTCCACCTGAGAACCATTTCCACCGCCTTCTCTGTCCTTTGGGGACCCCGACGTCTCTGCTGCCTGCCACCATCCTCAGCGAGGCATTATCACTAGAGGATTTGATCACTCCAACATTTTCTACCCACTTTCTGGTCTTTAATCTCTCATTCCATATCAGTCGGAAACAAACATTCTGATAATATCCCCTTCACAGGTTCAGCAATCTACATGAACGTGTCCCATACTGAGCTTAAACACCTATGCTTGGCTTTGAAAGCACTTGTGATCGAAGGCACTCGTGGGATTGCAAGAGGGCATCATTACTTTGGAAAAAGAGTTTGGCAGCTCTTCAAAAATGCTAAACATAGTAACCAAATGACCCAGAAATTTCATTCCTATGTATCGAAGAAAAATGAGAAGAAATGCTCACAAAACTTGTGAACAAACTCTCATAGGAATATAATTCATATTAGTTAAATATCCACCAGTGATGGTTGAATAAACACATTTCCCATTCATACAACAGAATGTTACTTGGCAACAATAAAAAAAATGAAGCTATGATATATGCTACAATAAATTAGGAAACATTATGTCAAGTCAACAAAGAAAGTCAGGAAAAGCCATATATGACATGAAGCTGTTGATCTGAAACTTACAGAGACAGGAAGTAGGTTAGCATCTGCTGGGAGAAAGGCTGGGAAGCGAAAGGGAAGTGCTAGCACATATGGAAGTCTTTGGAGTGATGGTAATGTGCAGGATCAGCAGTGGTGCTTGCATACCTTTGTAGATATACAAAATCCACCAAATGTACACTTTAAAAGCTTTTTGACTTTGGGTTTACTTGTTTGGGTTTACTCCTGTGACTATGCTCAAGGATGTCTCCTGGAGGGACTTGTGGGGACCATATGTGGTACCAGGGATTGAATTGGAGTTTGCTACATACAAAGCAAGTGCATTAACCCCTGCAAATTATACTCTTTTTGTAGCTAAATTATATGGTATGTGAAAAAATATCCCCAAAAAGCTATTAAAACCCCACTTGTGGTAGATAATTGTGTTTTCAGACAGACAGAAATCTACAACATGAAAACTTCCCAGTGAGTTTTTTTCAGTAAAGAGGCAGATTACTGGAGGACACAGTTACAAGTTAAAGAATGTCAAGGCATTCTTTTCAGTAATTTCCAGAAGCTAGAGAAGGGTAATAGGGGACTTGAACCTATGGGGGAAGAGGGTCTGTCTAAGAGTTTGCCTCCAGGCTTACAGCATTCAGAAAGAACAGTTCTGTTGTTCCAAACTATGGTGATTGGTTGCATAAACTACCCAAAGGTGATAAAATTAACATTAAAAAATATGAAAATGGATACAAAAATATATCTGAGGCAAATAGAACCATAAGAAAGCTGGGTCACTTTATTTTAAGTGCATTAAGTCATGCATTAAGTGACTTGAATTAAGTCTGCATTATGATAAAAGTAGCTAGAAAACAAAAACCAAAAAAAAAAAAACCAGGAAAGCCTGGTTTCCTCGAGATTTTACTTTTCATTTCTAAGCACCAGGTACCTAAAGCAGAGCATGAAAAGTAGCAAGAGTAGAGGTGAGTTATGATTTTACTTGGAAGGTGGGTGCCTAAGGGCAGACCCCAGGCACCTGTGGGGATGGTGACTTCTGTCTCTTGAGCAGTGGACCTACACTAAGTGCTTACTTAGTGTATTCAATATTTGGCTATCCAAATATTGGATAGGACATGCCTCCCAATCCCCCCCCCTCCACAAATCTTGCAAACAAGAAATCTGGTAGGAAAAGAAGAATGCCATATTGGAAGCAGGATGTATATTAGGCTGCATACTAATAAACCAACAGCAGTACAATATTCTTATAAAGGAGTACTAAGCAGCAATGAGAAATGAATGACTCAGATAAAATATGAATTTCATAGACTTAGAAAAGCAAACACCAAGAGAAAGTCCCATCACTTTCTCTACTCCTTCAATAGCCTCATGCGGAAAGTTTGTGAAAGGTTGGAGACCTTGCCCAGTGCAGACAGAGGTACAGACACGAGTAAGGGTGAAGCAATAGGAGAAGTTTATTAGAGTGTGCTCCTGGATGGGACCCCATGAATCTCTCTGGCGAGATTGGGGCAAGGCTATGCCCTGGCAAAGACTAAGTGTGCTTTTAAGTTGTCTTGTGTCAGAACAGGGAACAAAGACCAGTGGGACCGGTGCATTTGGCCTGTCCTTCTGTTATCTGTAGGGGATCAATGTGAAGAATCATACAATGCAGTCTAGTGGCTTCCTAGCACTAGGTGGGCCACAGATCCTGTCCTCTACACTGGGGGGCAGGGTGGCCCTTGATTCCAGAATTGTTGCTATCTCATCATCTGATTGCCATTTGGTCCTCTATGGTGCCATTTGGTTCAAGCAAACCTTACAGTTTGATTGTGATTTCTGACAGGTGAGGATGCTGAGTCAAACGCTATATAACTTGGGGAAGGCGACTCATTAAGGCAGAGCAGCTAGAGCTCTCTGTGAGGTAGAGACAGGAAGGGAACCAAGAGCTGAACTGTGAGACAGGAAGGACTCCTGGAGCGACCCAGACAGAACCTGATGGGACCAAGAGGCTGTTCTATGGCTGAATGTATGGTCCGATCTGCATGCATGGGTATCAGATTCCATCCTCAGCTCAGTATGGTCTCACAAACACAGAGCTCAGAGCCAACACTGAGCACCTCCAATGAGGGCCCCCTCAACAGTAACAAACCAATGAAAAGTGTCAGGGGTCTTTTCAGTAGAAATGTTGACCAAAAAGAACACAGAACTGGGATGTGGTCAATGGCAGAGAAATTGCCTTGGCCTTGGCACCACCAAAAATAAAAAGATAAATAAACAAAAAGGAGAGGAGATATTTCAGCAATATTCAGAGACAGAATCACAAAGACTGATAAGTGTTTGTGTGAGAGAGAAAAGGCAGAAATGAGCCTGAAATTCTCACTGGGAGCTTTGGGAGAACCAGGACTCCCCGAGAGGGTGTCCAGAGGAAAGATTGAGAAGATGAGCATCTCTTCACATCACACATGTATGCACACAAGATCAGGTAGTGGAATACCTGAAAAGGGAAGGGGAGAGGGCAGAGGGGGCCTGGGGTATCAACCTGTGGGTTATCAGCATGGATATTTATAATCAAGGATGCTGGATGATAAGAAGCAGAATGACAATGAGCTCAGGAAGGTTCTTCAGCACATACTACGTTCCTGCATGTACACTTCGCCCATATTAAAAGGAGAAATGATTGGGGCTGGAGAGATAGCACAGCGGGTAGGGCGTTTGCCTTGCACGCGGCCAACCCGGGTTCGATTCCCAGCATCCCATATGGTCCCTTGAGCACCGCCAGGAGTGACTCCTGAGTGCAGAGCCAGGAGTAACCCCTGTGCATCGCCAGGTGTGACCCAAAAGCAATAAATAAATAAATAAATAAATAAATAAATAAATGGAGAAATGACATATTTCAAATTTTTTTCTTCTCTGCTCTCTTGCACCTCTCTTGCACCGGGACATTTAAAGCTCAAGATTTTTCTCCATTTAGAGGGGCTTGAATTTCCCTCCCTGCCCCAAGCAGAGCCTAGGCAGCCGAAAACCTCCAGAACCCAGCCGCAACCATGCTCAAGGCCACTCTCCAGACAAGCTCAGACAAGTCTCACGAAGGAACTAACAGAGGAACCCAGGTATGCAGGACCTGTGGCT